CTGAATCATCCTCCCATTCACCCCTCCAGTGGGCGCTACTGTGTAGTCCAGGCGCCTGAAATCTGCTGGAAGATCTTCCAGAAATCTAAATGTTCGAGCCTCGTATCGCTCCACTTGATCAACGAGTTTAGTTTGATAGTATTACAACTTGCCTGTGATTTACCATATACTAGGTCCGAAGGTAGAAAAGGAAGCAGGGTCTCTTAGGCTTTAGACCGCGTTGAGGGTAACGCCATCGTTATCAAGACTAGCGGTAAAACTGTGCAAGTTCAAAACTTGGGAAAAGGTATTTATACTTCATCGAACTTAGTCGGAGCATCCTTTATTCAATGGCGTCCTCCCTTTTATTAGATTGGCTCCAGTTTTAGAGATAACGACTGGTAGCTCAATTAAGAAAAGTTTTACATCAGAAGTGCCATTAACTATCCAAATATTTGCAAAAAAAAAATTAACCAAGAGAACAGTGTAATCAAAACTACTATACAACATTTTTGAAAACAAAATTAGTAAATAATTCCATCATTGCACTATGGTCTGAATGCCAAAACTCACTTTTTACATGTGCTAACATCGCCTTTCTTTTATTGCTATATTTTAGATAATACAGTAAAGCATAGGAAAGGTAACTTTGTTTTTGTAAAAAGTCTTAATGTAGTAGTAAACAATCAGCAGTCAAAGTCTATTTATTTTTGTACAAGTGAAAATTCGATTAAACGTGAGATTTGCAGTCCAAAGTTTAATTACTGTTCTAAAAATGTTAGAACATCTTTTTAAAAAAGTTTTTATGGAGACTAACAGGACAATTTTGGCGAAGTTAGTAAAGCTTTGCGCAAGACTAATGAAAACCAGATGGCAAAATAGTTCGAAAGACTTCTGCCAGCCAGCAAAAAATCCGAAATAGGAAAAATGGTGGCTGAAATACGATTTTGGTCCGTTTACCGATTCCATTTTCGAATACTTTAACGATCCTTTTCTCCACTAAAGTGTGCGGCAGACAAGTACTGAGAATTGTTTTGAAACGGATACGCTGTTGGATGTTTTTCTGATTGAATCTCTTAAAGTGGATTTCACGGCAGAATAGATATACTTACCCATTGCTATGTACAGTAGGAGTTTCTGCTATAAAAAGCATCCTTTACCATTCAAATTCCTACCGCATAGGAGTATGGAGAATGAATCAATCAACGGTTGCTTTTTACCCCTTACTGTGGCCTTCTAAATGTCGTTTAAAATCTTCATATAAATATGTATGTATATGGAAATATGGAAACATGCATATGTCGGTATAAGTACCCTTGTTTTTAACTTTATCAACAAAACTGACAGTTGCACCAGACTAAAATGAAACGAAAAAAAATTCGTTCCTTCAATCATTCTTGAAGTTTTCAAGTATGAAATTGAACGCAAACTTAACATTTTCTGATAAGCAAAAATATTTTCATTGGAGGGATATTCATCTACGGTCACAAATTGGCGATAAATGTGATAAAGTTATAAATTTCATAAATATTTATAGTTTTATCACGTTTATCGGCAGTTAATCATGTTATATTAATTAGTGTAAGAAAGTGTGTATATTTAACATTTTCTGTTATACCCAGTCCAAAAAATTAGAAAAAAAGGGGCCCTTACTCTTGTTTTGCATGAAATAGTCGGAGTCTAAGCTTCTCTTTGAAAGGAAAAATTTACACCACAAAGTACAAAGGTCTCAGTGAAAAAGTAGTGCATGAAAACATTTATTTAATAGCGATCTGCTTTTGTGTTCTAATTTCTAGATACATACAGTTCATAAATAGTCCATTCCTAAATTGGAACCTCTTAGACAGGAACCTGAAAGAAAATTCACAGCTTTGTCTTCCATTTTCAGAAAACTGATACCTTTTAAGTTGTCGATTATATATACTGGATTATTTACTTGGGCTGTGATCAGCTCTGCAAGGGATCGTAGGTCTTTTTTGAGCTTCCTCAACCGACCAGCTGCGTGAAAATTGAATATATTCGGTGGAATTTCGTAATTAAAAGTATGCCTACAAGAATATATATAGGTACATGCATCTGCAAATATATCAATGACCATCAACTAACGGAATCAATATCTATAGAGACTTAACAAAAACCCATAATGAAAAACGAAAAGCTAGAGCATTATCTGCGATATTATTTTTATCAGAAAGGCTAAACGGCAATGTTGGTGGGCTGATAAAAGTGCAAATGTTTTGACAGCATTTCCCATTAAGATCATCTAAATAAGCAGTGATAAATATGTAATCAATCTACTAAGCATCCCAGTCAGAAAAGTAGTAATGCATTACATGCGTGATAAATAATAGAATGCATTTCTTATGAGTTCTCAAATTTATTACTGCTAACTAAAATTTTTTTATTAAAGCTTTGTATAAAAATTACCAATATATTTGCCAGATTCACAGCGATCCAGTAGCGCATTTCAAGGTACTTGAGCACCCTGTATTGGCTGAAAAGAAAACTGAAAGTTTGTATAGATATTACAAATATCAAAAGGAAAAAACTAAGGGATGTCCCGTTTTCTAGCCGGAAATTTTTTTCCCCATACAAAAATTGGACCACTCTAGTGTACATATGTAGATTTTTATACAAGTATTTTGATATAATCAAACAAAACAATTTTAATTACATAGATATTTGTATGAAACACCAATATGAGTAGGTGGTAGTGATGAAATCACTAACTTATTTAGCACACCCAAGCCTTTATAGGAAAATTATATGCATAAGTGTTTGTATGTGCCTTAGGGTGGGCCGAAAATGCATGTGGAAAAAGTAAAGTTGGAATTTGAATGCTGTCACCGGCTAGGATAGTTCTAAATCGGGAAATACCCCTGCTTTTTCATAAAAAAAAAAAAAAAATTAATTAGAGGTCGCTTAAAGCGCTCTTAGTTTTCCATGTATTAGATATGGCGAAAAAACCATTTTTCGTGGAATGGGTATTGAATTCTTGAAAACTAATATTTTTCGAACGGAGAACTCTATTTCTCTTCAGGAGACTTCCTGTTATAAATACCAAATTTTTTATTTTACCATATTTTAATACTAGCGATTTTTAATAGGCACCACCATGGTATTTTTTGGGGTTTTTAGGGGACCTTTAAAAAATAGTTAATATTAAGAAATCGTTAAATAAACTTTGGGTATTTTTATTGAAAGTTTCCTGAAGGGAAGCAGAGTTTTCCGATCGAAAAATATTGATTTTCAAGAATTATATATCGTTTCTATGAATAATGTTTTTTCCTTAATAAATGGGAACTCAAAATATTTTTTTATAAAAAAAAAAAAAATATGAGTATCTTTTTCGGTATAGAACAAGGACTTTACCTTTTTTGGGCCACCTTAACGTGCATATACATGCACATATATGTACATACATACATGTAATGCAAGCAAACAGTGACTCAAAGAAGTGTTCACATGTTGATTGTTTAGGTATTCTCAATGTTTTTAAAACTATTTTTTTTAATAAAAATATTGTTCGTATTTTTTTCAAATATTCAGCGTTTTTCAAATATATATATTTTTTTAATTTCTTTAGAAAAATATTGCGCATGCTTTATCCAAAATAATATAAATCGAAGTTTCAAACTGCATTTATATATTTTATATAATGCACTTGTTACACAAATAAGAAATACTATAAAAAACTTTTTTCCTCTCATATTAAAATTTGTAAAAATGGACGTAGCAACTTTCCACTATGAGTGGAAATATGTAATATTTTTATAAAAAGAAAATAAAAATTAAACTTGAAATATTTTGTGAATGTTTAAAATCAACACGTGAACACTTGCTTCAGTCATTGTAGATATGTAGTTTACCTAATCATTTGCGCTGATTGTTTAATTGAGATATAATAAATACCTTATTGCAAGCGTTCGTCCATTCACAGGGATATTCGGGTAACAATTAGGGTTGCCAACCGTACTATAATATATAGTATTGTACTATTTTTTTGGTCAGCGTACTATATACTGTTGGAAAAAAATACAGTATGCAGAAGTACTATATTTCTTCAGTTATAAATATATGTTGACCTTCACACTGAAATTACAATACTAAATTAAATATTTCTCAAAATTAAAAATCACTAATACAAAATTTCATTTTGATTTATATTACTACTTCTTCATAGTGAACAGTGTTTTGTTAAAAACTGCGAAAAGTGCAAGAAATATATTTTTTATAAGAAAAATGCATAAGAAAGAAAAAATATGTATACTTAAAAAGCATTTTTACTTTTTTATTTTAAATAAAATACTATACTTATATGAAGTGTACTATATTTTTCAGATTTTTTTTAAGAAAGTACTATAAGCATCTTAAAAAATGTTGGCAACCCTAGTAACAATACCCATAAATTACTGCCCCAATATATGGATATTGATCATCAGGTATAAATACCAACTGGTTGTACTTACGTACTCACAAACATACATATGTATGTATATACATACTTATGCATTTGCACTCATGAATAGCTCTAATCGAAGGTTTATTCCTGCGTGCGCGTGTATTTATGCATGACTATATTTTACAGCTTAAATACATAGTACTTTATATTTCGATAAAAACGTGCTGATCGTTTTTCTTTGCGATTAGAAATTTTGCTTACTCAGATATATAATACAAAAATTTTTCTGTCTAGAGTCTGGGCAAAGTATGTACACTTGGTTTTTGTTGTATTTAACAACGTTAGTATTGCAGCAACCTTTGTTTGTTGGTATTTATGTATGTGCACTTGTGTGGTCAGACAACAAGGTCAGAGATAAGGCCATTAGCGCCTAATATTTATTAAGCCTGCCGCTATTGGGATCTCTAGTTCGATAAATTATGTAACTATGTAGTTTCAACAGAAAAAATATATATATCCGTTACATGATAAGTCTCTAAATATTTAAATAAATAATTTTATTTCATACAAATATGTATTTATATATAGTAAGTACATATGTATATTTACAAGTTCCATTATTATTTCTTATATTGCTGCTAGGACTCGAAGAATAGACTGAAATATGGCCAGTCAGCTCGTCGGCCATTTTGTTGTCATGAATGCTCCAATGCATCGTTATGTCTCTTAGCTAAGGTCTTAACGTACCCCTAACTTTCTTATTTGGGCTAGAGGTGATACTTACGAACAGAGCTAAGTGCCTTGATTACCACCTGGCTATACGAGAGAATAGCAATCCTTTCTCTGGTCTATTTTGTGGCACACTTTTTTAATCGCCTCTCTCCACTTGAAATACTTAACCGAATTTATTAGTCGAATAGACTTTTCGATTTGGAGTTCAGTTGAAAAATAAAGTCTAAACCATCAATTTTTGAGCTGTCCATAAAAATAGATGCTACAAAGTCTTCCACAAAAGCAGTATCCTTCCAATTTTTCGTTCTGTTTGTCTCATGCAGTTGCAATGACACTCGCGGGTCTGTTTATCTAGTGGGTCGTCTTATCTTGTGTTCGCTTTTGATATTCCTCCCAAATTATTAATTAATATTAATGATATCCGAATGTAATTTTTTTGGAAGACTTTAACCAGTTTATGCGATGTATTGCCCAAGTAAGTCAGAGTTGCCGAAGTTATTTCATTACTTTCCTCTTTGTTTGTCCCTTCTTAACCTAGCTTAGGTATTATTACTACTGCAATATCATCTGCATAACTTATACTTCGTTTTCATTTTAAAGAAGATATTTCATGTGATTTATAATAAATAATTCGGTATATCGCTGGTTGGCTTTTTAGTCTCCATGAAGGCCGCTAAGTTCACTAGGGTTTCAGGCCTTGATCTTCTGGTATTAATAGTCCAAAACAAAAATCACCATACCAATCGTGTGAAACGGCCTTATGATTTTTGCTAGCTCTTGTTATTGCCATTTCGGAGTCGAACGACCCTCACACGAGCTTCTGAGTAAACTAAGCTAATTTTACAGTTTACAGTTTTGTATGGCATTATGTCTCTACTATTTAATGTCACAACCAACTTACGTGCTCTACTAACCAGCCAGATTCTGTATTAGAGAAGTGCGTTGATCGGCACTTTTGTTCTTGTGATAATGTGACTTGGATTTCATTCATGATTTCTTTCTTGACACTCATGATCGTCCAATCTCCTGCTGTGATGGGACTGAGCCTTTCGGCACCGTTATTTACAGAAAATGCCCTCAAAAACTTTGAACCTTTAACGAGAAAGTAAAAATGTAAACATATCAATGTTGAGCTCCTCGAACTCCTAGGCACAGATGTGAACTCTTAAAGTCTCAAATACATAAAAATAAAAAAGATTACGAGGAATTTAACAATCACAGCTACTTATGCTTTATTGTTAAATATTGATAAACAACAAGGGCTTAGTATTTATATGAGGCACTAAGTAAATATGGACGCTGGCAACCAGACTGATGTGTGTCAGTGATAAGAAACTATTAGGTTTTTCCCTATTATATATCGAAATTTATGACACACATATGTACGTGCTTAGTAGTATCAGTTGATTTATGTATAGCTGTTTAGTCTGTAATATCAAATAAATAATTTTAGTATATATTGCTTGCAACCACTAATAGCATAAACGAGTTAAAAATAGCAAAAAATGGGTACCTGGTTTTATGTGTGGTTATTTGGAAGAGTTGGCATTTGCATACGAAATATTTTGTGAAATGTTTATGATTGTAGGGTTGCTATATAAACATAAGCACTATTCAAATTAAGCGCCAAAAAGCAATGGTAGAAAAAAGTGTATTAATGGGGACTGTGATATGGGCGAAATGCCACATTTATACCAGTCATGCGGAATTTATTTAAAAAATACAGTGTCTCAAAAAAGTGTTGACATATTAGATTTTTTTTTAATATTCACAATGCACTTAGATAGATAGATATGTAGATAAGAAAACGTGGATGTCACAACAAGAAACACTGAGAACTAAAAGGTCTTTTGTTTATCTAAAGAGAATCCCGCGGCTTCCCTAATGAGTCCTAGAATAGCCTTGATGCTACAATTCCTTATTTCTGAGGGTTTAGCCATATGACTTTTGAAATAAATTATTCTTTGTCTAGTCAAGGACGTACAGCCGACAAAGAAAGTGTTCTGAAGTTTCCTCGTTAACAAGGCCTCCGGGCCTCCATTCGGATTCTCCGATAACAGCTATTCGGTGCATATGAATTCGTAGTTGCTTCTGTCCCGTTGGGTAACCGGAGAGTAGCCTAATGTCATTTCTGTTTAAGGGAATGATATGAGATCTATTGAAAGAGTAGCTGGCCTGTCTATCGCCACCTAACGCCTACCTACACTTCTGCGTTCAGAGTATTTCCACTCAGTAATTATGGCTCTTGAAGAGGACCAACTGAGAGAACTGGTTTCGGCTCTAAAAAGGAAGTTAAGGATTCTTCGCGCACCAACTCGTCAGTGACCCCCTTGACTTCGATCCCACGTTGTCCCGACACCCAGAAAATAGTTACTGTATTTTTTCTGCCAGAATTTGAGGCAGTCTTTAACAACTCGGAACTTCATTGTCCTGGCTCGGATGGCTGGTTGGCTCCATGAAAGATAATTATATAGACGATTTACATATTTTGGATTAGGATTGCTAAGAACTCAGTCTGGAACACCGTGGACATTTGTCCATGGGAATTGCGAGTTTGGTGCCGGGTCTATAGATAACTGCGCCTGCGCTGTCGTCTATTCCTGAACCGTCCTTGTATCAATTTACATATCTAGGATCAAGGGCAGCAGCTCATTCGCCCAATCTTTACGATCGCGTATTTTTACTTGGAACTTTGCATGTCTCCGACCCTGGCATCTTACCAAGAATACCTACACGAAACTTCTTCATTTAGAAGCAGTTGTTAGATAATGGAAGTTCCAGCTTCCGCGTGGCTGTTGCTTTCTGTAAAAAAAAATATGGAAATGAGAAGCGACTCCAAAGCCGCAGTAGAGCAAGTTCCTATTGATGCAGTTACGCATAGACATGCCAGGCGTTGCAGTATATTTGGCCATGGTACTTATATCAGTTTTTTACAGTGTTTTCTGCCACCACGCTACGGACGCATAAGGTACAATCGGGCGGACGGGCATGCGGTAAAGCCACTCTATCAGCGGGGTACATTCACTTTTCTTATTATAACGTTGAAAAATTACATACGATTTGCTTTGTGGTGCCATCTTTCGGTTTTGTAAATAGAAGATAGATATCAAAAATAAATTCGTCGTATCAAAAACTCTCTTTGTGTTAAATATAGACAGCTTGTTTTAAAGTTTGTGCGCTCGAAATTTACTTCAGCGCCATGCTCTAGTAGACTTCTTTTCTTAGAATTCTATATAAAATACGAATCTGCTAGGAAGGATGTCAAAAAAGGTCGTTGCATGCAAATTGTCGAGTCGTAATGCGTATACTTCAACAGAAAGTAATATTGCTCTTTCCGGGGACATGGTAAGGCATTTTTTGAAAACTTTTTTAATTAATGAGAAAAATTCCAAGAAGCACAAGTTTGTCAGACTTATCACAGTAATTAACCTTTAAACGAGATTCTAGTAGCATTTAATGCTCCTCCAATAAAAAGTAATTTTTTGGCACGCATGTTTTTTATGGCAATGACTAATGCGAGTAACATATGTACATATGTATGAACGTATTTGCATTTGTACATAGTACATATCTGTATATCATGTAAATTAGATACAAATATAGGTACATTAAGGTGCATCAGTCTCAACACAAAAAAGTCAGTACCGGTTTTCCTTTGGAATTATAAACTTTATTACATTTTCAGACTTTTCAGCTCAAGTATTTCGGAAAAATATTAGGATTTACGTGTGCTGGACTCATTTGAAATACCTCCAAAATTCGAGTTTTTTAATAAAATAAGTTTTTAAAAATATTTTTTTTTAAGTGTAAAAATTGTATAAACGAAATCAAAATAATGAGAATCTTAATAGTTTTCCGAAATTATTTTGCGGAAGTCTTAAAATAAAATATAATAAATTTTGTAATTCCGGTGAAAAAACCGCTACTTATTTTAGTGATGCACCCTAATGTACATACATGCATATATACAAATTGCGTCGGCAAAAAAAAAAATCTCATAATTTGGGTACGTAAATTAATTATAAATACATAAATACTTACAAACATACAAGTGAATCTGTGCCTGAAATTGCTGTATTTGTTGCTGAATTTGGATATCACCTACGAAAGCAAAATATGTTGTTGTTTGCATTGATTTTTGCATGAATATGTTGCACTTGTAATTATGTATATATGTATGTATGTAGATAAGTGGCCATTTTAATTTGCTCCAAATTAATGTTTGTTTAATTTTGCTATTTTTCTTTGCAGAATTTTACGTTGTTTACGTCACACAAAAGTGCCTGACGAATTTCATACAACGCCACAGGATGTGGAACAGCAATTCACCGAAGTGCGTAAATCGTTTCGTGAGGCTGTAAAAATTTTATTACTGGGTACAGCAGAATCCGGCAAGACAACTATAATTAAACAAATGCGTATATTGCACATAAATGGATATACAGATGAGTAAGTAAAATAGTTAGGTGAAATTAGAATAATAATTAATTTTATGGCCATTACGCTTTGCAATAGGTTTTATTTTTTGAAGTTAGAACTTTTTTATACCGACTCAAGTTCATTTGAAATTTGATAAAAACCCGACACCATGCGAGATTTCTCAGAAACGGCTGGAGGGATTTAGTTGGAGGGATTTAGTTGAAACATTTTGAATATTTATTTAAGTTTTCACCTTCTGAAAAAATAAATAAATTTTTGGCGTTTTTACGCCAAGCGGATTCACTAGTAGTTATTATATACAGTAAAGTTAATTTTAGTAATTATAAATTTATAAATATTCCTTTGCTTATACCCTTCTTTGAATGTTCTTTTTTTGTTTACAGAGAACGCTGTGATAAAATTCCCGAAATCTATCAAAATATCCACGAATCCATGTATCAACTGGTGCAACATATGTCCATACTTGGCCTGCAATATCAGAGTATAGCAAGTCGGAAGTGTGCAGAATATATACTATCGATGGGAGATCAAGCACCAGAATATATGAATGAGGTGAGTTTTAGAATCTAATAAGGAAAAAAGAGTAGTAAAAAGTAAACGGTACGATTAGGTCAACAAAAGCTTGGTTACATTGAAACAATATTACGTGCCCAGACTGGGTTGCTTGATTAGTCCCATCGAAGATCTCTGGGGATAGGCGGCTAGAAATGTTAACGAAATTTTGTCCATTTTAAGTTTGTTCCGTCTTCTTCTCCAATTTGTGGCGTGCGCCTTAATGTTGTCAAACAAATTGGGAGGGACCTTCAGTTGTACGCAGACTCCGAACGGTGATTGTATTTTTATGAGAAGCTGTTTTTTGTGGCAGAAATACATTCGGACGCTGCCACTGTCTGCCCATGGGGTGACCGTTATGGGAAAAACACTGTTTTGTTTCTTTATTTTTGATGTTGGTTGGAAAGTGGGCTCGAACCCAGGCCCTGCGTAATGGTAGCGCCCACTGCTAACCATTACACCACAGCCGCCTCATAGCACAAAGGTCTTAGAAAAAACCCTGTCATTCACTATTCGTATGAGCAAAACACACGTGTGCCTTTTGAGAGATCCTTCGAAACTTCGGGCAGCGATTTTTTTTTTACCATAGTTTTAATTGAGTTAATTATTAAGATTTGATCTTCTAAAAAAAAGTTTTAATTATTTAAATTTTTATTAGATTTAATTGTTTTAAAAGAGAAATATATTTTTTATCATTTCACAAAATTTTTGAAAACGTATTTGATTTCTTTTCTGTTTGTAACCGTCTTCTAAAAACAGCCTCAATCTCAATAAAAACTGTTCAGCTGTTGAGTTTCTTTTTTTGTCTTTGTTTAATTTAATTTTCTATTGATTTTCAGATTTTCTTAAAAAAATTTTATTTCATTTATATTTTAGGTACTGTTTTCTTCTTTTTTGGTTTAATTATTTTGCCCTTATATTCAATTACATATATTTTGGGTAATATTTTCTTCTTTTTTGATAAAATTTTTTTCCGTTCTAATTTAATTTTTTGTTTGATCGTTTTGAAGAGAAAATATATATATTATATATATATATAGTAATTTTTGCTTTATTTTTTTTTTATTTTATTATTTTTTCCTTTCATATTAAACAATTTCATTTTTATGTAAATTGTGTTTTCACAAAGAAAAATATATAATTTCATTAAATGTTTAGAAACGTATTTTATTCTTTTTGATATTTTTTAATTAAATGTTTTCTCATATTATATATTAATTTTCTTTTTGGCTTTAGATTTTATTGTCTTAAAAAGAAAAGAATATTATTTCAGTTTCTTTTAGTATTTAGCACCTTTTTTTATTTATATTTGTTGTTTTTTTAACTTATTTTTTTTTTTAGTTTTTAGATTTTGTTTTAAAATTAAAAATATGTTTTTTTAACTAAATTTTATTTTTAAATGCTATTTTCTTCTCTTTTGATTTAATTAGATTTCTTTTAATTTTTAGACTATATTGTTTTTAAATGATTTATTTTTTAATTTCATTTGTTTTTTTTTTAATATTTTTTATTTTTTTTTACTTTATTTACTTTAATTTTATTATTTTCTTTTATTTATTAGCTCTTATGGTTTTAAAAAGAAAAAAATATATGTTTATAAATTGAATTTCACTAAAAAAAAACTTATTGCTAAAAGGCGAACAGCATAACGCTAAGACCTCCTCGTTAGCAGATCTTTCAATTAATTTTTCGAAAGGCAGTAAAGAGCTTTCAAGATAGTAGCCAGAATTAACGATTTCCTTACGAAAGAAAGACGGTTGCCAGAGTTCCTCTGTTATTCTGCATATATATATTTCTCTGGTGAGAGCACAAATGACATTTCGCCAGAATTGCGCTGCTGGATACTTTTTACTGCAGATTTTGCACGAACGTACCTAATATGAGGATATTTTACATTTTGTACTAGCGATTGGATAGGTTTGCGTATCTGAAGGCATTTCATTTATCTTATTTAATATTATTTTAGTTTATTTTATATTTTTTCAATTAGTTTTATTTTTTTTGTGTTTTTTTTTTTACTTAACAAATGTGCATACATACATATGTGCATACAAGTAAATTATTTATGTACGTCAAACTTTATCGTAAGTGGCCACTTAAGGTTTAAGATTTTGTTTGATGGCCAGAGCAAACATAAACACTTTGCTATGTGCTTACTGATTACGTCTAGTAAATTTAATTGCGATTCCATTAAAATTTTCTGAAATGTGTTGTCGAAAGAAAACTTATTAATTTTATAGTACTCTTAGATCGAGTTATTGGTTCACTGGCAGTTAGACCAAGGTGGGTTGCATAGAGAGAATATCCTAACAAACAAATACTTGGTTAGCAAAAGACTACATTTTTATCAAAAAAGGCTATTTATTTTTCAGTTTCAGAGCGTATGTATGTATACATATTTACTATGTTTATTGAAAAAAATTTTCAGCGTTGAGTAATTTCTTTACGATTCCCCCAAAAACCAGTACATTTAATAAATCTGCTTCTAATAAAAAATTCATATCCACATCTAAACATAAATAGTCCACAAAAATTGCTTAATTACTCAGCAAATTGCAAATATTAACTTTCAACAAAGTTACATTTGTATGATTCATGCAGAAGAGCTCTGCAGTGCCCACACGTATCGCCCTGCTGATATTAGATAAGCTTATCATGGCACACATGCATGTACCGAAGATGATTTTTTCAAGTGAATAGTTTATTTACTGCAGTTCATTTAATATTCAGGCATTAACTAAAACTTACTTAGATATATTTTTTTATGGGGAAGTAAATATAAATAAATTTTAGTTGGCGGCTGCATAGAAGTTATGTGACTTCCACTTATTACTACTACTCATATATCATTGACTCAGTTAAATATATTTACATACATGTTTATATGTATTAAAAATTTTCCCTTATTTTTTCACATTGCAGGAATATTGCGATCACATTGTCACCTTATGGAATGATGTGGGCATACGGACGTGTTTCGATCGCTCTAATGAGTTTCCATTGTTGGATAGCACAAAATAGTACGTATTCCATTATTATTTAATGTGGTTTCAAAAATTCTGAATAATTGGCGATAAAGTAAAAAATACATACACATTTTGGGAAATTTATGGCATGGACATAATTTTTGGTGTAATATGAAAACGTGACATAAATTTTTGGCAATTTAGAAACTGGACACAAATTTTAGTTCATATACAAATTTTTTTTGGTGAAAACTGGACAGCAATTGAAAAGTCGACATAAATTTTTGGTAATATAAAAACTGGACATAAATTTTTAATTGTTCAAGAAGTGAATTTTTTTTTTTTGATAAACTGGGTAGTTATTTTTGGCAATTAAAAACTCGACATAAATTTTTGGTAATATAAAAACTATACATACATTTTTAGTCGTTCAAAAGGTGATCATACATTCTTGGCCTTTCAAAAGCTGCACATGAATTTAAGGTCATCTAAAAATTGGACGTAAAATATAAGTAATTTAAGAATTGGCAATAATTTTTTTTGGTAACTTAAAACGTGGTCATAAATTGTTGTCAATTTTGAAGAACGGAACATTAAGTTTTAATAATTAAAAAATTGGAAATAAGTTTTGGGTTATTAACAATTAAAAACAAGTAAGAAAGTCTAAGTTCGGGCGGAGCCGAACATTAAATACCCGGCGCAAGTATTAAATATATGTTTTCCACCTTTCCGAAAGCTACCGCTACATGATAAGCCGGGGTGTATACATTTTAAGTAAATTAGCGTCCTTAAATTTCGAAATATTGCAGTTTCAAGCATATCTGAAATTTACCGTTATATGAAAAGCGGCCTAAATTTTAGTCCGATTTCAACAATTTTCAACGGTTTGCTTTTATGTGGCAAGCACAATAACCATACCGAGCTTGGTACAAATTGCTAGAACGGTTAGCGAGATACATATATGTGATCACAAGTGGGCGGTGCTACGCCCATTTTCCAAAATTTTGTCATAAACGTATTTCTTGGTAAAGAATTGTTGCAATCATCAATTTTGAATAAATTAGCTTCATATTTACTGATTTATCGAAGATTTTGTATTTCTCGAAATTACCGTTATATGGGATGTGGGCGTGGTTATTGTCCGATTTTAGAAATTTTCGGCCAGTTGGTATGCTGTACCAGGACC